ACAAACACCCACCCCCTGCACTTACTGGACTAGGAATGGCATCAGGGTCTATTCTGTGCCTGGTTTTCTGCTGAGGAGGCAGCTCATTGAGTTGCTTTTAGTGTTTTAATAAAAAAGGCAGCAGGGGAACACAGGGAGAAAGACAAAAGAACAAGAGGCAGATGTTACTTCTCTCAACCCTGTTGAGTCAGACATGAACAGCTGGAACCCAGCTTATACTGCTGAAATCAAGCCCCCTCTAGACATGAAATTCCAAGTCTTTCTGACCCAACACAGAGGCTTTAATGGCTCAGACTATGATGTAGAAAGATAAGGAAAGGGGCAAACAGGAGGCAAGCAGGAGTTATACAGGGAGGGGCTGAGACTGAATGGAAGAAACCTTAAGGAAGAAGAAGAGGAATGTTCCCCCTAAAAGGTCAAACCTCCCATTCTAAGGACTAGTCTTATGCTGAAAGAAGCCTCCCCTCACAGCCAGTCAGACTCTCCTTCTCACTGAAGGAGAGGGAAGGAAGGAGAGGCTGCTTAATCTTCTTGGGTTCTCCTTGGCCAACAGGCTCCCTCACTGTGGTAGTTACCCAAAGGAGGAAGAGAGAAGAGAACAGAATGGAATATGACAATGGCTAAGCATGGCAAGGTAACTGACATAGCAAATGTTTACAGACAGAACTATAAAGTGGCCCCTACTTGACAGTACAGTCCTGGTCTCTATTCTGAGTCTGATAAGGAGGGCCTGAGGATTCTGATGGTCCAAGGATGCAATTCACTCTCTTCCTGGGAAAAGCAGCTTCTCCAGTGGGACTTTACATACACGCTGCCCTCAAAAACTGTTGTTCACTCTTCCCCATCCACACAGCAGGAGCCTACCAAACAAAAGTACTGAGGAATTCCTCCTAAAACTGTCCAAGTAAGAACAGAGAAACCAGTGAGGCTCTCCTTCTCTTAACATCTAATATCAGAGAATTCCTACCTGCTCTACTCATTAGGAAGAATGCCATCTTTCTAGATCTAAGGGGACAAGACCCAGCCACTGCTCCATAAAAGGACAAAGGCTACCATACTATGTATGTCCAGTAGTGACAGAGTGCAGCCCTCAACTCAGCTCTACTGGTGCTGGTGCTCACTTTTGGCTTCCTTTCCTTCTCTGCCCACCTATAGAGTAAAACAGCCCCCCCAAAAGACTCCTGGAACCTCAAGTTCCAGTTCAGAGTCAAAAAATTATATGTAAGTTCTCCAAGAAGATGAAGAAAAAGGGAAAATTATCAGAAAATGCTAGGCAAACATTTCATTTAGATTGACTTGCCTATTTGGCAGACACAAACCCTTCTCCAGGACCATGTAAGTTTCTACTTACAGGGCTTGGGATGGCATCAGGGTCCAGGCGCTTAGGAGGCAGTGGCTGAGGAGGCCCAGGCTGACTGCCAAAGGTGGGTGCTGCTGGGTAGGGGCTTCCATAATTAGGCTGAGGGCCCCGAGCTGATCCAAAGGAACCTGAGAGAAGGGCACAAGGTTGGTGAACTCAAAATCCCCTCCCCATCTCTTCTTAAGGTCTCAGGAAAATGACTAGATTTCTATGAACATAGAATTATGAGGTACACTAATGCCTGGCAAAGCCATTCAGAGTAAGACTATGTTATCTGAACTATAAGAAAAAATGTCTTATAAACCCCATATCCTAGGAATAATACTCTGAAGGTGCCCATCTAATTCACCACTTAGCAAGTAATACTAAAAACAAACAAATAGGCCGGGTGCAGTGGCACAAGCCTGTAATCCCAGCACTTTGGGAGGCTGGGGCAAGTGGATCACCTGAGGTCAGGAGTTAAAGACCAACCTGAACAACACAGTGAAACCCCGTCTCTACTAAAAATGCAAAAATTAGCCGGGCATGGTGGTGCATGTCTGTAATCCCAGCTACTTGGAAGGCTGAGGCAGGAGAATCGCCTAAACCCAGGAGGTGGAGGTTGCAGTGAGCCAAGATCACACCATTGCACTCCAGGCTGGGCAACAAGAGCGAAACTCCTTTGGGGGTGGGGGAGGGGAGTAAACAACATCAAAAAAACAACATCAAAAACCACCTGAGTAGCTGAAGCCTCTAGACCATGGGAAAGACTCACCATTTTGTTGAGGCTGATAGCCTGGCTGCTGCAGGGAGTGCATAGGTGGCGGTGGTCCCAGGGGCCCAGTCATCTGGGTGCCAGGGGGCAGAGCTTGAGGAGGAGGTGAGGACACATGGTTGGGCTGGCTCACTGAGGGCCCTCCAAAACCCTGTCCAGGCAGGAGTGGACCAGTCATTGAAGGCAGCCGAGGACCCCCTGAAACTGGGGGTGTGAAGCTGGAGGCCTGTGATGGGGCAGATCGCTGAGGAGTCTGGATCCCAGGATGACCTTGGGCCTGGCTAACAGGAGAAGCCTGGCCCTGAGGATAGGAGCCATACAGACCAGAGTTAGGGAAACTTCCTGAGGCTGAAGCCAGCGATGTCGGTGGGCCTGAGAAGTAGAATAAACGTAGAGTCAGAAGCCCGGTCATTTTGCCTTCTTGTTAGGTAAATCAGTTCCCTTTCCACACAAGAGGGGCAGGTATGACTGTCCCATTTTCTGGGCTCAGAGGCACAGGAAATACAGGGGAAATAAAAGAGATTCAGGTATAACCCCAGAGCCTAATGCCTCTGAAAAGGGGACAGTAACAGTCCTGTGGTCACAGCTACTCACCATAGCCCAGCCCTGAAGAGGGAGGGGCTGGGGCGACAGCACTGCTAATCTGCATTCCGGCCAGCTGCGCAGTCACCTGTGCACTTGTCGGGGGAGGGCCATAGGGCTGAAGCACAGCCGGCTGGCTGCCCACAGGGGCCAATGTGGACCCAAATGGCTGAGACCCAGGCAGCCTGTGAAAAGAAGGAAAGCAGAAGTGACCAGTGGGTCTGGGACACCCTGTAAAGTCAGCAGAAACTTGGCATCTAGAGAAAGCTACATTGTTTTGTGGTACCTTACTCTCATTCTGAGTTCTTGGATGGCTTCATAATTTTGTATATTTGTAGGTAAATTATATTACTGATAATCTACACTGTGATTATTCATGGCAAATCTTGTTTTCCATCAAGTTCACTCCACAAACATATACTGACCACCCTCAGGTCAAGTACTATTTACTCTGCTAGCTAAATTATTGCCTCCTCTGCTTCAGTTCTTTGACAATTGAATTTTGTCAGTTTTGTAATCTGAAGCCCTGAAAGCATTGGAAGGGAAGTCACACATAAGCGTGCATGAACCTTAATAAATATGAAATCAAACAAATGCAGATTGATTATCCAGCTTTTTTTTTTTTTTTTTTTTTTGAGACAAAGTCTCACTCTGTCACCCAGGCTAAAGAGCATTGGCATGATCACGGCTCATTGCAGCCTCAACCTTCCAGCTCAGGTGATCCTCCCACCTCAGCCTGTTGAGTAGCTGGAACCAAAGGCATGCACCACCATGCCTGGATAATTTTTGTATTTTTTGTAGACATGGGGTATTGCCATGTTGTCTAGGCTGGTTTTCAACTCCTGAGCTCAACCAATCCACCTGCCTCAGCCTTCCATAGCGTCCTTCCAATATACTTTCCATTCAGTGCCTCCCTCTCTGATTATTCCCATCAGCACAAAAACACACAAACATCTCACAGAAAAAAACAAAACAAAACAAAAAAACCCAACTATAGTGGAAACATCCCAAATATCCATCGACAAAAGAAAGGATAAATAAAATGTGGCATATAGCTACACAATGAAAAACCACCTGGCCGCAAAGAGGAATTGAGTACTGATATATGCTACAACATAGTTGAACTTTGAAAATATCATGCTAAATTAAAGAAGTCAGTTATAAAGTATCACATAATATATGATTCCATTCTAATGAAAGTTCAGAATAGGGAAATCTTTAAAGACAGAAAATAAATCCGGAGTTGCCTAGGGTTGGAAGAATAGGGGAATGAGGGAATAGCTAAACAGGGGTAGCTAAAGAATGCAATATTTCTTCTTTAGACGATGATGAAAATGTTCTAAAACTGACTGTCGTGATATCTGTCAATATACTAAATTGTGACAGCACATATCTGTCAATATATTAAAACCACTAAATATACAAAAACACTTTAAATAGGTGAATTGCACAGCATATGAATTATATCTCAAAAAGCTTTTTTAAAAATCCAACCAAATTACCCCATAGCCTCCTCAAACTTTTGCTCCCCTTTTAGCTAAACATTACAGAAGAGTAAGTCTATACTCTGTCTCTACTTCCTTTTCTTTTTTTGAGACAGGGTTTCACTCTGTCACCCAGGCTGGAGTACAACGGCACTACCTGTGGCTCACTACAGCCTTGACCTCCTGCGCTCAAGCAATCCTCTTGCTTAAGCCTCCCCTCCCAAGTATCTGGGACCACAGGCATGCACCACCAAGCCTAGCTAATTTTTTTTATTTTTCGTAGAGACAGGGTCTTGCTATGCTGCCCAAGCTAGTCTCAAACTCCTGGGCTTAATCAATCCTCCCACCCTGGCCTCACAAAGTACTGGGATTACAGACATGAGCATTGGTCTGGCCTGACTCTAATCAAAATTCCTTCCTGAGAACCCTTTCCAATCTGGGTTGAGGTGTGGTTGTTCTACATTTGTTTCTAGAAGGTATTCCAATAACAATGTCACCCTAGATTAATTTTTGTTTTTGTTTTTTGAGACAGGGTCTCACTCTGTCACCCAGGCCACAGTGGAGTGGAGCCATCATTACTCACTGTAGCCTCAACCTCCAGGGCTCTAGTGATCCTCCTGCCTCCACCTCTGCTTCCCACGCAAACCAACAATGCCCAGGTTTTTTGTTTGTTTGTTTTGATAGAGACAGGATCTCCCTATGTTGCCCAGGCTGGTCTCAAACTTCTGGCCTCAAGTGATCCTCCTGTCTCGACCTCCCAAGGTGTTAAGATTACAGGTGTGAGTCACCATACCTGGCCTCAAATTAAAAAAAAAAATTAGGCCAGGTATGGTGGCTCATGCCTGTAATCCCAGCACTTTGGGAGGCCAAGTCAGATGGATCATTTGAGGTCAGAGTTTGAGACCAGCTTGGCCCCATCTCTACTAAAAAAAAATACAAAAATTAGCCTGGGCATAGTGGTGCCTGTAATCCCAGCTACTCAAGAGGTTGGGGCAGAAGAATCGCTTAAACCTGGGAGGTGGAGGTTGCAGTGAGCCAAGATCAGGCCACTTCACTCCAGCCTGGGTGACAGAGCAAGACTTGGTCTCAAACAAAAAAAACAACAACAACAAAAAAAAAAAACATGAGGCTGGGCGCGGTGGCTCACGCCTGTAATCCCAGCACTTTGGGAGGCCGAGGCGGGTGGATCACAAGGTCAAGAGATCGAGACCATCCTGGTCAACACGGTGAAACCCGGTCTCTACTAAAACTACAAAAAATTAGCTGGGCATGGTGGCGCGTGCCTGTAATCCCAGCTACTCAGGAGGCTGAGGCAGGAGAATTGCCTGAACCCAGGAGGCGGAGGTTGCGGTGAGCCGAGATCGCGCCATTGCACTCCAGCCTGGGTAACAAGAGCGAAACTCCGTCTCAAAAAAAAAAAAAACAAAAAACAAAAACAAAAAACATGGCTGGGCACAGTGACTCATGCCTGTAATCCCAGCACTTTGGGAGGCCAACATGGGCGGATCACTTGAGGTCAGTTCAAGACCAGCCTGGCCAACATGGTAAAACCCTGTCTCTACTAAAAATACAAAAGATTAGCCAGGTGCGGTGGCGCATGCCTGTAATCCCAGCTACTTGGGAGGCTGAGGCAGGAGAATCGCTTGAACCTGCGAGGCAGAGGTTGCAGTGAGCCGAGATCATGCCATTGCACCCCAGCCTGGACAATAAGAGCAAAGCTCTGTCTCTAAAAAAAAAAAAAAAAAAAAATTATTGAGATGTAATTTCCATATCATTAAATTCACTCTTTGTAAGTGTACAATGCAATAATTTTTAGCAAATTTACAGTTACGCAACCATCACCAGAATCATATTTTATAACATTTTCATCATTCCAGAAAGATCTGTCATGTTCATTTGCAGTCCCAAGAACTCTTTTTTTTCACCCATCCACAGACAGCCTGAGAGAAACAGGACTCCTTCTTATCGCCCTCTTCCAGTGTGCAGATTTTTTTCCCCTAGTTGACTTGTCCATTGAAGGTACAGCCCAGGTCCAGACTATAAACAATGTCTAAGTTCCAAAACTCCTCTCAGGAGAGCTCAAGGACTCATCTCCCTTCCCCAGTACCTGGCATAAATTTAAGGCCATGGCTTCCCAAGATGATGAATCCACCCAGTCTATGGGTAGCCTTAGAGTCAATTTGCCACTCTGATTTTCAGTCCTCACTTGAGGGCCAAGCACAGTGACTCACGCCTGTAACTCCAGCACTTTGGGAGGCAGAGGCAGGCAGATCACCTGAGGCCAGGAGATGGAGACCAACCTGGACAACATGGTGAAACCCCATCTCTACTAAAAATACAAAAATTAGCCGGGCGTGGTAGCGCATGCATGTAGTCCCAGCTACTTGGGAGGTTTAGGCAGGAGAATCACTTGAACCAGGGAGGCGGAGGTTGCAGTGAGTCGAGATCAGAGCAAGACCCCGTATCAAAAAAAAAAAAAAAAAAATTTTCAGTCCTCACTTGGTCTTTAAAACTTAGAATGTCACATTTTCATTTAAGCTTAACTTTGCACTTAAAATTTTTTTGTTTCTGTTTTCTCTCTCCTTTCTAGATGTTGGTAGCAGAGTTTTCAGATTATGTCAATCCACCACCCGACTAAAACTCTTTGGCTAACTCCAACTAGGTAGTTTTCTTCATCTTTACGCTGAAACTGTGTTTATCAATGATGCCAACCTTGCCAAATCCAATGGTCAATTATCAGTCTTCATCTTACCATTCAGCAGCACCCAATACAGCTGATTGTTGGGTGTGTTCTCCCAACAATCTCTTCACCTGATTTCAGGACACCACACTCTCCTGGATTATCTCCCACCTCACTACTACTCTTTCTTATTGTCTTTTTTTGTTAGAGATGGGGTCTTACTCTGTCACCCAGGTTGGAGTGCAATGGTGCGATCTTGGCTCACTATAACCTCTGCCTCTTGGGTTCAAGCCGTCCTCCCACCTCAGCCTCCCAAGTAGGTGGGACCACAGGTATGCGCCACCACACCTTGCTAATTTTTGTATTTTGGTAAAGATGGGGTTTTGCCATCTTGCCCAGGCTTGTCTTCAACTCCTGAGTTCAAGTAATCTGCCTGCCTCAGCCTCCCAAAGTGTGGGGATTACAGGCGTGAGCCACTGCACCTGAACTCTCATTGTCTTTTGATGGTGGCCCCTCTTTACTTTTATTTATTTATTTATTTATTTTTGAGACAGAGTTTTGCTCTTGTTACCCAGGCTGGAGTTCAATGGCATGATCTTGGCTCACCGCAACCTCCGCCTCCTGGGTTTAGGCAATTCTCCTGCCTCAGCCTCCTGAGTAGCTGGGATTACAGGCACGCGCCACTATGCCCAGCTAACTTTTTGTATTTTTAGTAGAGATGGGGTTTTACCATGTTGACCAGGATGGTCTCGATCTCTTGACCTCGTGATCCACCCGCCTCGGCCTCCCAAAGTGCTGGGACTACAGGCGTGAGCCACCGCACCTGGCCGACTCCTCTTTACTTTTAAATGTTGGTAAGCTCCAAGTTTCAATCTCAATTCCATTCATTAATCCCAATGCTCACTTTCTAAATGATTTTATCTAGTCCCATGGCTTTAAATATCTGTAGACTGAGGATTCCCAAATTTTTTTTTTTTGAGACGGAGTTTCACTCTTGTTACCCAGGCTGGAGTGCAATGGCGTGATCTCGGCTCACCGCAACCTCCGCCTCCTGGGTTCAGGCAATTCTCCTGCCTCAACCTCCTGAGTAGCTGGGATTACAGGCACGCGCCACCATGCCCAGCTGATTTTTTGTATTTTTAGTAGAGACGGGGTTTCACCATGTTGACCAGGACGGTCTCGATCTCTTGACCTTGTGATCCACCCGCCTCGGCCTCCCAAAGTGCTGGGATTACAGGCTTGAGCCACCGCGCCCGGCCCGGATTCCCAAATTTTTATCTACAGTCCTAACATCAGCCTTGAGCTGCAGATTTGTATACACATCTGCCTACCTAACATCTCTACTTGGATAGAGTTTATATGAGGGACTTAGGCATTTGTGGATTTTGGTATCTGTTAGTTGGGGGAGGTCCTGGAACCATTCCCCAACAGATACTGAGGAATGACTATAGTGAGATTTTGAATACATTTTCAAGGTGGAGTCAAAAGAATTGGATGTGGGTTATATGGCATCATATTTGTATATAACCTACACATACCCTCCCATATACTTTTTTTTTTTGAGATGGAGTCTCGCACTGTTGCCCAGGCTGGAGTACAGTGGCATGACCTTGGCTCACTGCAACCTCCACCTCCTGAGTTCAAGCAATTCTCCTGCCTCAGCCTCCTGAGTAGCTGAGATTACAGGTGCCTGCCACCACTCCTGACTACTTTTTGTATCTTTAGTAGAGATGGGGTTTCACCATGTTGGCCAGGCTGGTCTTGAACTCCTGACCTCAGGTGATCCACCCACCTTGGCCTCCCAAATGCTGAGATTACAGGTATGAGCTACCACGCCCTGCCTCCTCCCATATACTTTAAATCATCTCTAGATTACTTATAATACCTAATACAATGTATATCAGGGGTGTCCAATCTTTTGGCTTCCCTAGACCACACTGGAAGAAAAATTTTCTTGGGCCACACATAAAATACACTAACACTACACTAACAGATGATGAACTAAAAAAAAAAAAAAAAAAAAAAAAAAAAAAAAAAAAAAAAACTCATAAAAAATCTCATGTTTTAAGAAAGTTTATTAATTTGTGTTGGGCCACATTCAAAACCATCCTGGGGCATGGGGCATGCAGACTGTGGGCCACGGGCTGGACAAGCCTTATGTAAATGTTACGTAAAGACTCCAAACTGTGGATACTCTTTGGGTTAACTGTTTGGTTTTTTTCAACAGATAAATAGTAAGAAAAAGAAGACAGAGGTGGAGCCTATAGACCTAAAAGACGCACCAAGTGTTATTCTTTTGGGTAAAACTAAATTGTGGTATGTGGAGTTGAACATTTGAGTGCAAATTTTTTTTCTTTTTGAGACAGGGTCTCACTCTGTTGCCCAAGCTCTGGAGGGCAGTGGCAAGATCACACTCACTGAGGCCTTGACCTCCTGGGCTCAAGCAATACCTCCACTTCAGCCTCCCAAAGTAGCTAGGACAACAGGCATGCCACCATGCCCAGCTAACATTTAATTTTTTGTAGAAATGGCATTCTCCCTATGTTCCACAGGCTGGTCTCAAAAATCTGGGCTCAAGTGATCCTCTCGCCTTGACCTCCCAAAGTGCTGGGAATACAGGCATGAGCCACCTCATCCAGCCAAGTGTAAACTATTTTTTAAAAACCACAAGAAAGTCAGCTGGGCGCAGTGGCTCATACCTGTAATCCCACCACTTTGTAAGGCAGAGGCAGGCAGATCACTTGAGGTCAGGAGTTCAAGACCAGCCTGGCCAACATGGCAAAACCCTGTGTCTACTAAAAATATTTTAAAAAGTAGCTGTGCGTGGTAACAGGCACCTGTAATCCCAGCTACTCCGGAGGCTAAGGCAGGAGAATTGCTTGAACCTGTAAGCTGGAGGTTGCAGCCGAGATCACACCACTGCACTCCTGTCTGGGCAGTAGGGCAAGTCTCCGCCTCAAAAAAAAAAAAGTAGTTACTTTAAGAGTCAGGATAATGCAGGAAAATGGTTATTTATGAGGGGAGGGAGAGAATAATGACTGAATTGAGACACATGGAAAAGCCTTCTGGGGTGAGTGGCAAAGTTCTATTTCTTGATCTAGGTTTTAGTTACAAAGGAGTTAGGTATATTATAATTTACTAACGCATACACTTGTTTTGTATGGGTTTGTTGGTTTTTTTTTTTTGAGACATGGTCTTGCTTTATCATCCAGGCTGGAGTGAAGTGGTGCAATCATGGCTCACTGCAGCCTTCAACTCCGGGCTCAAGCAATCCTCCCACCTCAGCCTCCCAAAGTGCTGGGATTAAAGGAGTGAGACATTGCACCCAGCATGCACCAGTGTATTTCAAACAGCTCCCCACCCCCTCACCATATCCTCACCCTATTTTATAACTTTACGTACATTTGTGTACTTATTATCTTCTATGTTCCCCACTTGTCTGACTTACCCAGGCTTCCATTCAATGCTAAAAACGTATATCCTGGACACTCAGTTAAGTGTCAGAAAGTGACTTTTCTATTACCATATACCCTTTTCCCCTAGTTATACTTTACTCTTCATTCACCAAAAACAAACAACTCCTGGCCAGGTGCAGTGGTTCACACCTATAATCCCAGCAGTTTGAGAGGCAAGGTGGGCAGATCACTCGAGCCCAGGAGTTTGAGACCAGCCTGGGTAACATGACGAAATCCCACCTCTACTAAAAATAAAAAAATTAGCTGGGCATGGTGGCACACGCCTGTAGTCCCAGCAACCTGGGAAGCTGAGTTAGGAGGGTCACCTGAGCCTGGGACATCCAGGCTCCAGTGAGCTGTGATCCTGCCACTGCACTCTCTAGCTTGGGCCACAGAGTTAGACCCTGTCTCAAAAAAATTTTAAAAATTTAAAAAGCACTCTAATAGAAATGACTGCCCTCCTTTAATGCACTATCACGCTAAGATGGATTTACTGGGTCATTGTACTACTAAATTTTTCACCATTTATTTGGTTTCCCTTTCAGTATCTTTCAGTTCATAACTGGCCATGCCCAAACTTAACCAATCAGTCTTACTAAGGGCCTGAGCTAGAAGAAAGGGGCAAGTCAGAAGAGACGCAAATAATCCTGAGATTCCCTCTTCCCATTTCTCCCTTAGGGTGGCTCAATAGGACGGCAACCATTATTGAAGATGTATGTCTAGTAAAGCAAGAAACTCAAGTTCACAGAAAATGAAGAATATGCAAAGGAACCCGGGTACTAAGATGGGTCAACAATCCACAGGTCTGGACATCAGCAGTACCTGTAACCTGGAAAAAAGAAGACAAAGTCCAAAAGGGTAGAGGGAAGAGGAAAAATAGATCTAAAAGAAAGGCAAAGGAGAAGGAAAAAAAGACAAACCCGCATACGTTCCTAACCTTTCTACTCTCATCAGACAAATTTTATTTTTATTTTTATTTATTTATTTATTTTTGAGATGAAGTCTCACTCTATCGCCCAGGCTGGAATGCAATGGCGCGATCGCAGCTCACTGCAACCTCTGCCTCGTGATTCTCCTGACTCAGCCTCCCAAGTAGCTGGGATTTCAGATGCATGACACCAAGCCCAGCTAATTTTTCATTTTAGTAGTTACAGGGTTTTATCATGTTGGCCAGGTTGGTCTTGAACTCCTGACCTGAGGTGATTCACCCACCTCAACCTCCCAAAGTGCTGGGATTACAGGCATGAGCCACCACACTCAGCCTTATGAGACCAATTTTAGATTGACCAAGTACCTACCTTTGCATCTGAACAGCGGAGCTTGGCCCATTCTGTACATCTCCTTGGCCAAACTGGCCATATGCAACCTGGCCACAAGCAGCCTGTGCTGTTGAGGCTGGAGGTGCCCCTGAGGAAGGTGGAGCTCTTGATATACCTGAGGGTAAAGGACAGAAACTAGGTGACTGGGAAATAACTTTCTCCTACACCCTGAGCCAGGAATGCAAAGCAAGGATCAATAAAGCTCAGACCTTCACTGGCCCCATACCACAGTTTAGGCAGTGAAAAGGACACTACCAGCATAAAGTCTAGCTATAGCAGTATTCTTCTTTTTTTTTTTTTGTTGTTGTTGTTGTTGTTGTTGTTGTTGAGACAGAGTTTCCCTCTTGTTGCCCAGGCTTGAATCCAATAGTGCAGTCTCGGCTCACTGCAATCTCCACCTCCCGGGTTCAAGAGATTCTCCTGCCTCAGCCTCCCAAGTAGCTGGGATTACAGGCATGCACCACCATGCCCAGCTAATTTTGTATTTTTCTCCATGTTGGTCAGGCTGGTCTTGAACTCCTGACCTCAGGTGATCTGCCCGCCTAGGCCTCCCAAAGGGCTGGGATTACAGACATCAGCCACTGCACCTGGCCACTACCGCAGTATTCTAAACACAGATTTCCAACACAGGGCCTACACTGCCCTAGACAAGCATACTAGGGGTGAAGCTGTAGCCAGAGGCACAAGAATGTAGGGCCTTCCTTTGATCACCATATTCTCACTCAATCAAGGACGACCTGATATTCTTACCCTAGACAACAAGTCAATTCTCTTAAGGAAAAGATCTTACTCCAGAACTTAGAGCATACATGAAAAAGGAGACACAGAAGATGACCAAGCCTACTGAACTAGGCTGTATAGAAAGGCATCTCTTGGGGGCTATTCTGCCACCTTCTTCTTCATTCATTCTGCTTACACTAACCATATCCTTTCATCCACTTCTCGGTGTGGAAACTTCAAACAGCACATGATTCAGGAACACGTTCCTATAGGTCGGAGACCTTGTTTCTGCCCAACAGTTCAGTAAGAACAGCTGACCTGTCCTCCCATTAGCACTGCCACCTACGTCCTCACAAAAACTGTACTCCATCCTTCCTATTCCTTAGAGCTACCATCAAAGCTACTTATACTACCCTTAGCCATTCTTCCCACATGAAGTTCAGAGAGAAAGCAATTAGTTTCTCCCTCAATTTAGTTTCAAAAGCACATCACTTTTGAAATGTTGATGACCTCTGTTCAAAGAATTGTTTTTCTTTTGCTCTGCCCTCAGTAGAGATTAGACATTATAGAACCTGCCTATAGGAACATAATTAACCTAAACTTGCTCACCAACCATGACAGGATCAGGTATGTTTTCCTCTAACAAAGCTTTCTCTTGAAAGAATGCCAAACTCCAGTTTGATAAGTCAGGACTTAACAAAGCAGAGGTGGACTCTGTCCAGTCAAAGTCGCAGCTTAGAATTATGGCTCTTCCAAAGGCCTGGGGCCTAATCTCTTCACAGTTTTTTTTCCTGCAGTTATAATCAAAATCACAATACTTCATTATTTCCCAAATCTTACCCCTACCTCCTTGATGCCTTCTTTTTTCCATATCCCTTCATGGAATTCCCTCTCTTAAACAGCATAAAGAGTTTGGCATATCCTAAGTCATCAGCTAGCCTCAGCAAAGATCTACTGTTAACTACTTCCAAAAAGCCCCTCTGGATAATCTATAGAGTACTAGCTGCTTTTCTTGAAAAAGTAAGGTGAGCACGGATGCAGTGGCTCACGCCTATAATCCCAGAACTTTTCCAGGCCAAGGCGGGAGGATCAGAAGGTCAGGAGTTCAAGACCAGCCTGGTTAACATCGTGAAATCCCATCTCTGCTAAAAATACAAAAATTAGGTGGGCATGGTGGTATGTGCCTGTAATCCCAGCTACTCGGAAGGCTGAGGCAAGAGAATTGCTTCTTGAACCCGGGGGGCAGAGGTTGCAATGAGCCAAGATCGTGCCACTGTACTCCAGCCTGGGCAACAGAGCAAGACTCTGTCTCAAAAAAAAAAAAAAAAAAAAAAAGTAAGGTAAAAGACAAACACTGAACCTAAAGCAGAATTAGATTAGTCTTCTCTTATTGCCCTGATATTATAGAGCATCTAAGAAGCAGAGGAAATGCAAGCAAAGGAAAAGGACTGATATCAGAAAAAACATATGAGGCACCAAAAATCAGGCACACAAATATCACACGTTTCATCCCCATAAACTACAATGTCCCAGAGTCATTTATACATAAGAATCATCAGTCCAACAAGACGCATTCTCAACATATATGAAGAATAAATGATTTCAGGGAGACTTCAAGTCAACAGGAAATATTCAGTCCTGGTCACAGGATCTAGAGAAGCTATAACCACAACCCTTCCATTTAGCTCTGAACAATGTGACCAGGTAAGGCTGCACAGGATAACACCCACAGGAAGTGAGCTGTCAGTGAACCTGGGAGATGTGCTCCCATCAGATGGCTTAGGGCAGAAACACAGTACCCTATCTAAAATCACGGAAGGTGGCTGGGCGCACTGGCTAACGCTTATAATTCTAGCACTTTGGGAGGCCGAGGCGAGTGGAGAGCCTGAGGTCAGGAATTTGGGACCAGCCTGCCCAACATAGTGAAAGTCCATCTCTACTAAAAATACAAAAAAATGACCAAGACTCCATCTCAAAAAAATAAAATAAAATAAAACAGGGAAAGGGCCGGGCATGGTGGCTCCCGCCTATAATCCTAGCATTTTGGGAGGTTGAGGCTGGTGGATCATTTTAGGTCAGAAGTTCTTCGAGACCTTCCTGGCCATTGGTGAAACCCCATCTCTACTAAAAATACAAAAACTGGCCAGGCATGGTGGCTCATGCGTGTAATCCCAGCACTTTGGGAGCCCAAGGCGGGCAAATCACCTGAAGTCAGGAATTTGAGACCAGCCTGACCAACATGGAGAAACCCAGTCTTTACTAAAAACACAAAATTAGCAAGGCATAGTGGTGCATGCCTGTAATCCCAGCTACTCGGGAAGCTGAGGCAGAAGAATCGTTTGAACCTGGGAGGTGGAGGTTGCAGTGAGCTGAAATTGTGCCATTGCACTTGAGCCTGGGCAACAAAAGTAAAACTCCATCTCAAAAAAAAAAAAAAATACAAAAATTAGCTGAGTGTGGTCGCACTTCCCTGTAATCCCAGCTACTAGAGAGGCTGAGGCAGGAGAATTGCTTAAGCCTTAGAGGTTGCAATGAGACAGAGGTTACAATGAGCCAAAATCATGCCACTGCACTCCAGATTGGGTTACAGAGCAAGACTCTGTCTCAAATAATAATAATAATAAAAAAAGGGAAGGGTGCCCACAGGGCTCTCTTCATGTCAGATTCATGTTCCTCAATCCCAGTAACCCAAACTCCTCAGGTAGCTTAGCTAGAGCAACACAACCTCACATGAAAACTCTGCTAATTTCCTTCCCTAGTTCAAAGGAAACTTAGAAACATACCTTGGGATTGCTTCTCAACCTTTTGGCTGAGATCAATTGTAGAAACATACCTTGGGGAGGTGTTTGCTGATAGCCTGGTACTGGGCCGTTGTAGGCTCCATAGGGAATGGCAGGGGCTGTGGACCCTGACTGCCCACTGTAGCTGGACTGATGATACCCTGGGTAGACGGGCTGGGGCTGCCCAAATGGCGGCACAGGTGGAATTGACTGGTTGACGTTCATTATGAAAGCATTCCCAATTTGGTCTCACCTATTAGAAAGAAGAGAAATTAGTCAAAATGAATTTTTTTTTTTTTTTGAGATGGAGTTTCACTCATGTTACCCATGCTGGAGTGCAATGGCGCGATCTCGGCTCACCGCAACCTCCGCCTCCTGGGTTCAGGCAATTCTCCTGCCTCAGCCTC